GCCATTGTCCTTACAAATGGAGGCGGTTAGAAGCATGTCTCAAAAGCATCCGGTGACAGTCGTAGGGACTGAATGATTCTGGGTTGTTTAGAAGAATAGTTTAACCTTCCTTTGAAAAATTGCAGTAATATCAAGATAAATTATTAAAATATACGGTCGGATTTCAACAAATATTGCTACTGCTATTCAGACAGAAATATTCACTCATTAATCATGCAGTGAGTGTTTATTAAGACCCCACTGTGTTCTGTGCTTTTCAGCTCCCACAGTTGCCTGTATTCAGCCAGCCACAGATCTGGAAAGAAGAAACTAATGAACAATAAGATGTTAGTGACCAGTGGCGCTTAACCCACCACTGTCTCTCAAATATTTTTGTATTTTTTTTTTTTTTGGTTTTTCGAGACAGGGTTTCTCTGTGGCTTTGGAGCCTGTCCTGGCACTAGCTCTTGTAGACCAGGCTGGTCTCGAACTCACAGAGATCCGCCTGCCTCTGCCTCCCGAGTGCTGGGATTAAAGGCGTGCGCCACCACCGCCCGGCTAACATTTTTGTATTTTGACAGAGCCTGAGGAGTTATTCCACGAGAACACTTCCAGCGTTAGGGCAGAAGGCCTGCGGTAGGTGGACAGGCAAAGATTTTAGGAGTTCCTGATAGATTTCAAACTGCCATTAGACAGCTCACAGACTTATCCCCCTTCCAACGATAGGATGATGGGATAAAAATTGGGAAGTCCCATGCTGTCTTTATGCCAGGCGTTGTGCTACATAGAGAATATGTAAGCAGGAAAAGTGTGGCTCTTCCCCGTAGGGATCCAGATCCCCATGCAGTGACTGCGGCAAGCCCCGCCATTGCATTTCTTTGTCCTGTGATTGTGATTTGGTCGAACTGCTGGGCTCTTGTGTTATCTCATCTTCCGACTTTTCAACATTTAGAGTAATTACAGCCCTTTGACTTGCTGTGGTATGCCGATTTACTCATAGTATTGACAACTCCGCAGTATCAAACGTGTGATGTCATCTGGGATCTTACAGGGCCCAATGCTAGTTTAAACCGAAGAGAAAATTCACTTAAAAATTAAACATACTCAGGTGCAGTTGTGCACTCCTGTGACCTCAGAAGGCTAGGGCAGGGCAATCTCAGGTCTGAGGCCAGTGTGGGTTGTGTATTGAGACTCCTGACTCAAAAAGAAAACAATAAAATAAGAAAACTTTTCCTTTGGTTATAACCATTGAAATTGTCACCTACCTTTTGCTTTTCTAGTCCCCTTTCCAAGGTGTTTTGCCAAAGTCCAGAAATCTTTTCAGGATCCACATTTTAAGAGATTAATTTTATTTAAAATGTAACCGTTGATTGGTTAATTGATATGTGCGTGGTGTGTGCATACAGTGTGTGTGTAAGCAAACGTGTGTGCAGCTGATGTGTGTTTAGGTAGAGGCCACTGGGAATGCCTTATCTCTTGGAGTCACAGGCATCTGTGGGACACCCAGCTTGTTATGTGGGCGATGCCATCTGATTGAGCAGCAAGTGCTCTTCACCACCGAACCATCAAACCAGTCCAGGGGTCTGCGGTTGAGATGAACTGTAGATACATGGCTTCCTGGGAGAACACTGTAAGGACAGGTGCCATCCTGTCGCCTGCCCACTCATACCACTTCATGACCCCACCTGGTGAGTCTGGAGCTGGCATTGTAGGGAAGACCTAATTTTGCCTGTCACTGAAGCAACAGAACTGCCTCACCTCCATAGACTTCCTGAAGATTCAAAGGCATTACCTAAATACAATGTTTGTACATGATATTATACGCGTACACATTCTATATTTTGTAAATATATATATTTACAAAAATACCGATAAAAAATGTACACAGAAATGACAGTTTCTCATCTTGTAATGCCTTGAGGATATCCACAAGCCAGGAAGGCTCTCAGCTCAGTGACGGATGCCGGATGGGTAATCTCTGGGATTATTTTTGAGAATGATTTTAGTAGTTCTGTTCGAATGATGCCCTTTTTTTTGAAGACTGCTATTTTTCTGAGTGGCACATATGTCAGTAGAGCAGAATAAAAGCCTAATAAAAGCATACCTGATTATAAATGAGATTTTCCAGTAAGTTGCTTTTCACTAGCTAGGGCGCTTGGCATCATCCCTGAGTGCCAGGGTTCCCAACAATCTGCCTGAGAAGTTAATGACATATTCCCCCGTGACAAAGAAGTCTGGTCCAAGGGTAGTATATAGTTTTGTGGGTTTTTAAATATTCATTTTAACAGTCTCTTGTTCCTGGAAGTGTTCCTCTCTCATATCATTTCCTACATGCCGCTGACTGTGCCATCTATACGCACAGATACCTATAGATGCTGAAAGAGCCAGCTACGGGGGGATTAGACTCATCTCCCAAATACACAGGGAATTTCCCATGCTGCTTTGTTAGTGTTGTCACAGAGAGAGAGAGGGCAGAAACAGCGCCTGCAGCTGTGAACCACCTGACATAGGACAGCCGCAGCCCCCTTTGGAGCCCCCCTTCTCCATTCTGTTGGTGACAGAAGTTTCTGTCAGGATTGGTACTGTCTAGACCCAGCATCCTATGATCTCATCATCTTCCGTGAAGCTTGGCAGCTGAGACTGAGCATAAACTCACAACACCAAGGGCTACCTGGTCCCAACAGACTGGCCTTAAGACTGTGGGGAAGATAACTTCACTTTCCTTCATCTTGAATTTCCTCAACTGAAAAGTAAGAGAATCAGAGCAGATTTCTCTCAAATGTTTAAAACCATTCTCATGTTCTCTGGTGATGTATTTGTGGTAATGAAAACCAAACCAAGGGTTTCCAACCCAGGGCCTGGTGCATACTAGACACAGCCCTCGACTTCTCAAGTTTAACTTGCAAAGATTATCATCTGCAGGAATATTTTCTTTTATCTTTGGCGGTTATAGCCAAAGTTTATGAGGGCAGAGGAAATGCAGTCTGTCAAGAAATAGTTCCACTTTGGCCGTGGAGAAACATTGAATTAATTTGCTACATTTTTTATGTCCTATGAAAAGATCTCTCAGCTCCCTCTTCTATCCACCATCCTTTGGGATAGAAAATGTTGCCTTTCTTCCCAACATGATGAACGCTAGCTCTGTTCATGTCATTTTAATCCCATGACTGAGTTTGGTTTCGGTGATTCTAAGACTTTCTCACTTGAAGCTCTAACTATTAAACGTTTTATCATTGGAGAATTTGTTCAGGTGATGCTACTCAGTTGCACATGGGAGACCTGGGGCTGTTGGCATTTACGTACTTAAGTGGGCGTGGCGGGAACAGCCCGCACAGCCTGCCGTGAAGGTCAGAGGACGACTTGTAAGAGTCGGGTTTTCTCCTTCCACGAAGTAGGGTGAGGGCTTCAAACCAGTTTGCCAGGCTGGGCAGCAAGTTTTCATTAACTGCTGGCCAGAGATGGGCGCTTTTGAAAGAGGATTTGAAAGGTAGTGGGAGGGCTAAAGGAAGAATTGAAGGGAATTGGGGATAAATTTTTCTCAAATCGCATTCTATGATTGTATGAAATTCTCAAACAATAAAGAATAAAAGGGGATTTTTCTTGCAGTGATGTAGCCAACTCCACAATACACCTCCACTCTGTATCAAAGATGGCACATCCCTTCCACAGAACTTTTCCCCCACGGTGCTGGACACAGAACCCAGAACTTGCGCATGTTAGGCCACTCCCAACAGTGAACTATCTCCCAAGCCCTTTTCTTCTTGGCATTTTTAAAGAAAAGTTCCCTATAAGTTGCCCAGGGTGACCTTGAACTTGCTATGTAACCTAGGGAGGCCTTGAACACACAATCCTTCTGCTTTGCCTCCCGTGTGGCTGGGTTGAAGGGCCTAGGACACCAGGTCCGGCTTACTGTGCTCTTCCTTCATACAACGTCCTGTGCTCTTTAGTTTGTACCAGTTAGAGTCCAGGCTAGAATACCTGATCGGACTTTTCTAGGGTAAATCTTACACTGTTTTTAAAGCTCTAAAGGGGGCCATGGAGCGACCTCAAGACACCTGTGGGCTGAGATTTGAAAAGATACTTGTCCCAGTCTTTAAAGTACTCTCATTAGTAAATGCCAAGAGGGTGAAAACTTGGGGACTGATTCTTAGAATGCTCGTGATGTCCACACTCAGTTCTCTCTCTTTGTCGTGACAAAAATGACAGGTTGTGTAAGGTTTCAAAACAAGGAATGAATTTCCCTGTATTCATAACTTTAAGATATACCTCCTTTGTCCTTCCCATACATCGGGAGACGTATAGGCTTAGGCATGGTGTGTGTGGGTGTCTGGGTGTGTGTATGTGTGTGTGTAAAACACTTATGCATTGTGCTACTTGCTTATACACGCCAGCCGTCTCATTTAATCCCCCCAGTAAGTCTGTGAGTTAGCAAACGAAATACCCAAATTGTTCCTTAGGAAATGGAGGCTCCAAAGGCTTTAGTAACTCCCTGCAGGCAAGTACAGCAAGTAGACAAATGAGCTACAGTTTAGACATGGCTACTGCTTGACCCTCTACCCTATGAGCTTAAACACCGAGGTTGCGAAATTGTTATTCTTCTGAGCTGGAAAACAAATCTTCATCTTGAATTTACTGCCAAGGAGTTTATCTTGTCTTGAGTGTCCCGTGTGGGGTGATGAGAGAACCCTCTGAAGTCTCCTTTTTTGTCTGTCCTTGCCTGCCTCCTCTGACTTCCATTGTCACGGCGGCTTCACAACACACTGTCTGCACTGTGTTCTGTTTCATGGATCTATACTGTCCTTTGTTGTAAGTACATTTAGGAATGATTGCAGCTTCCTCTTGATGTCTCAACATTTTCAAGTGATTTATTTTGATAGTTCTTTAGCCTCGTGATTTCAAATATTGAGTTACTGAGTTCAGGTGGTCTTATATTTTCCCCACAAATGTGTTTATGTCACTCCACAGACTGAGAAATTTCATTCCAGGGGTTTCTCCCCTTCTTTCATTTGATTTCCCTGCAGGAGAAGAACTGAGTTCTTTGAGCTTGTCAGCAAAGGAGACTACGATTGGAACATCAAAAGCCACCGTGATGTGTTTCGGTAAGAAAAAGCACGCATTTGGGTACACTTTGCATTATTGGACATTTTAGCCATGCTTTTTCTGTGTACATTGGAAAAGTCAGATGATCAGCTGAACAGAACCTAAGTAATTCTCCCAATTTGTCGGAGTGAGCAGCTTCACAGGGATGCTTCCCTGTGCAGTAGACACCTCTGGGGTGTAACCCATGGTCATGCTCCCGGCTGCACTCACAGAACTTAAAATGAGACCCTCAGAGTGTGTGGAGCAGTATGGTAGCTTTGTAATAAACGCAGCATCCTGAACCCCTTATTCTCCTTGAGACTGTTACTTAATCTCTCTGTGCTTTGGTCTGTAAATAAGAATAGGGTCCCTCTCGGAGGCCACAGTGAAGGTTTTGTCAGCCAGCGGTCAGTCCTTTAGCTAGGAAAGGCCCTAGGACAGAAGCAGGGGGAAAGCCAGCACTGCCAAATGCTGCTGCAGAGGATCAGAGCCCAACAACAGACCAAGCTGTCCCCCTTCGCACAAGCTTAGCATAGGGGTGTTTGGATAGTGCTCTGGTCCAAGGGGCTGGCTGAGGCTGGCCCTGCCTGGCTCGCAGTGAATGACCCATTGTTAGCTGGGACCCTGCCCACTCCAATCCTGCTCTACCATCTGGGCAGCAGACCTGTTTCCAAGACATTGAGATCCAGCAGGGTTTAAAAGTCTAGCTGACAGCAGGATGGCCCTCTGACCTTTCACAACACATTCTTTCTTCAAAAGCAGCCAGCCAGCGCACCTCCCAGGGCTCCGGCTGGTGCTGTTTACTCTCCACCAGGCGCTCCTATTGTTAGCTGAAAAACAGCGGACGGGAGCCCACCCGCCACATCTGATAATACTCTCTATCAATGATTTGAGTTATCTCCAGTGTTTCCACGGTTCAGTGTGAAACTTAGTTAAATCCACCTCTGGAAAACCTGATTCGCGTTTGTTGTGCCTGTGTTTTAGCTTGCAAGATTAAGGAACGCCTTAGCTGGGTATGGTTTGGTTTGTTGGTTTGTTCGTTTGTTTTTTGAGAATGTGAATAAAGCAGTGGCCGCCAGGTAGTAACCCAAGTGACACAGTGTGGCTCCCTCGGGGAAATCTTGGCTCTGTGGAGCTGTGAACTTAAAAGAGTGCCCTACACAGCGTGTATCTCTCCTCTGTGGTGTGGATTTCTCTCCTTTGTCGCCCGTGTTAAGTCAGCCACGCAGGGTGATATACTGATCGCCTTGCTTACGGCTAAGCTGGGGGGTAGCCACAGCCTGCTTGCCTCAGGTGTAGACAGAGGGCTCTCCTGCTCTCCTCAATTTGCTGCAGACGAAACAAAAAGGCGACCCGGGAGGATGTGAGAGGTCTTTGTGTTGCAGGCAGCGGTGGCTGCCTGGGAGAGGCACAACCGAGCGACTTTAAACAACGTGGCCCCTTGTGGAGGGAAGACGTGGGCTGACCCCGGTTCCGTGTTATTTATTTATGGATCTAGGGTGAGTTTGTTTAGGAATGCAGCAGAGGAGCGTTCAGGCTGTTCGGTTCTGTTTTTCAGATCAATGTTAATGACAGCCTGTGACCTTGGAGCCGTGACCAAACCGTGGGAGATCTCCAGACAGGCAAGTGATTAATGGCGGAGCTCAGCAGAGGAGAGACTGACGGGGGCGGGGCTGAGCACGGAGAACAGTCTTTGCCTAGGTGCCGGCCTGGCATGGAACCACAGCCGGCCAAGTCGGAAGGCCATCTTACCCCACAATCTTTCTTCCTGTGCTTCCACTGAACAATGCTATTTCTGGCTGCAAGATTTTTGTAACGTGCTAAATCTGAAGAACCCTTTGACCATCCTGAGGGCAAACGGTTCATAGAAAAAAAAAAATACTGTTTTTGAATAAGTAATCTTGTGTTAGCAAAAGATCCTGTTTATCACTCATGAAAAAGAAAATAGGAAAAGTGAAAATCTGTTCTGTTTTAAAGTACTAGTTAAGCATCAGAGGGCTCTATTGCCAATGCGTGCTGTGTCCCATTTAATTTTTTATCAAGACTAATAGTTATTTTACAGTTTCTCAAAGCACCCAAGCATTGCATTATTTCTTATGCAATGGTAGTTTTGAATATAATATAATATTATATTCAATATATAATTAAATATAATATTATAATAGCTCCCTGGCTGCTTGACTACCAAGATCCTTGTTTACTAAGAGGGGTCAATAGCTTTTTAGGTTTCCTCCCCCTCTTTAACTTAATCTTATTTGTATTGTTTTTCTTGAGGCAGGATAACTCTATATTCTCGAGGCTGCTCTAAAATTCTTTGGCTCAAGTAATGCTCCTGCCTCAGCCTCCTGAGTGCAGGACCAGTCAACAACAAACTCGCTAAGTTTTGTGCGATACCTTTTATGGGGGAGATAAGGTATATTCATATAATAATAAATGATTTTTTTGTCTGTGATGTTTCATTTCATGTATGATAGGTAGTTAGTACAAAGGCTGAGTAACCACAACACAGAGATATCGTGTCATGATCCCAGAAACCTATAACCATTCCCTGAGAAGAAAAGAACAGTTTTCTGCTTGCAAGAGTAGATGTAAGGATTTGCTGAGGGAGAAGAACCTGGACCATCCAGATGGGTCCTAACTCCCATCACAAATGTCCTTGTTAAAGAGCAGAGAAAGCTCAGGGTTCAGAAGAGAAGGCAACGTGAGAGTCCAACAAATACTGAAGTGATCATGTCTACACCCCAAGAAGTGCTAACAGCTACCAAACGCTGAAAAGAGGCAAAGGTCAGACGGAGTCTTCAGAAGGACACAACGCCAACCCCTGGGCTTCTGCCCATCACCCTGGTGTGAACCACTGGCCCCAAGAACTATGCAAGAAGAACTTCCTGTTGTCTTAGCCCCAGAGTTTGGAGTGAGGTTTTTGGAGTTTTAAGAAATTCATTCACTTCTCAAATGGGAAGGATGGGGCTTAGCAAGGCTAAGCAGCCCAAGGTCTCCTATAGAGAGCAGCTGCTGACATGGGGCTTAGCAAGGCTAAGCAGCCCAAGGTCTTCTATAGAGAGCAGACGCTGACATAGACAGACTTGCTCTTCTCCTCTTTGTGTCCTTGAGGGTCACTGCCCTCGGACTGACGCAGTAACCATTCAGACCAGGAGTCCTTCACCATTGCTCTTCTCCTCTTTGTGTCCTTGAGGGTCACTGCCCTCGGACTGACGCAGTAACCTTTCAGACCAGGAGTCCTTCACCATTGCTCTTCTCCTCTTTGTGTCCTTGAGGGTCACTGCCCTCGGACTGACGCAGTAACCATTCAGACCAGGAGTCCTTCACCATTGCTCTTCTCCTCTTTGTGTCCTTGAGGGTCACTGCCCTCGGACTGACGCAGTAACCTTTCAGACCAGGAGTCCTTCACCATTGCTCTTCTCCTCTTTGTGTCCTTGAGGGTCACTGCCCTCGGACTGACGCAGTAACCATTCAGACCAGGAGTCCTTCACCATTGCTCTTCTCCTCTTTGTGTCCTTGAGGGTCACTGCCCTCGGACTGACGCAGTAACCTTTCAGACCAGGAGTCCTTCACCATTGCTCTTCTCCTCTTTGTGTCCTTGAGGGTCACTGCCCTCGGACTGACGCAGTAACCATTCAGACCAGGAGTCCTTCACCAATGGACTACTTCCGGGGACACAGACATTGGTGACCTCCACCCTGGGAAAGGGACAGAAATCTGAATAAAAGACTAGCCAAGATATACAAGCTCACACTAGATGTAAGCTTTGAGTTTGAATCCAGAACTTGTTCTTGGATTGGAGAGACAAGGGGCTGGAGTGTGAACAAGACACAGATGTACAAGATGTAAGACCTCCAGGAAACAGAGGGCAGGAGCGCAGGGACAGAAGGAAGAGGGCTGAGGGGCTGCAAAAGCCATGGCTGGAACTGGAGTATGGTTAACAGCCGTGGGGAAAGCTGAGACGGCACAGACTTCCGAGGAGAAAACTTACAAACCAAAACACATAAAGTAGATCCCAGCATATCAGACCCACACTCTCATTCACACACGGCCAAGCTTCTCTCCTCAGCCTGGAACCACCTGCACTTTTAAACATCATGGCTTACACAGGTCTAACCTTTTGATACTACGTCATGACAGTGTCGCTTGCAAAACTCATGCCAAGAACCAGGCAGTAAAGTTACAACAACAACAAAAATCTCATGTTCTAAGCGAGTTTACAATTCTTCGTTGGGCCACACTCGTAGTGATGGGCACCTCTGCTCTCATCCTGGACTGAGCTGATGGACCGACCGAGGAGCTGACAGTAGAAATGAAATGCCTTCGGTAATCCACCGGTCCAGACTTTTCACGTGAGAGTACTCTGCCAGAAGCTACAATCCATGTCTATGCCCAGCCAGAAGAAAGTCAGAAATCATTTGTGAGAATGTAAATAGTACAGTCTGCCCTTAAAAATCACCAGAAATGTCACTCAGAGTCCTTCTAGACAAAGCATACTCATTCTTTCCCCGGGGAAGGTAAGTGGGGTGGCCTATCAGTCAGGGCATCAGGCTCCCAGTCTAGAATCTCTACTACAGGTCTGGGTGTAACTTAAGGACCTAAACATGCCTTGAATACAGCATCAGACAGCCACCTCCACACACAGAATACCACCACAGCCCTCCCAGTCTGCAAGGGAGGAGATAAAGGACATTCGAGACCAATGGTCCGTGGAGATCCTGAGCCTTCCAGGCATTCACCATGAAGTCTCCACCAGCAGTGGGCCTGGCTCCCTGTGGGATGCTTCAACCGCTCAGGCTTTCTTTCCATGGCTTTTTAGCTCCAGTAGGAAAATGATTCCTTTCCCGTGATCTCCTATGACATTATTTGAAGGCTGGGTACCTTTCTCGGCCTACTTCTCACCTGAAGAAGGTGGCACACTGGCTTCGTAGAGTCACAGACTTACGGTTTCTTCAGCACGAAGCTCTTCAGCATTCAACTAAAACAAAAACACCGTGGTTTCCTCTATGTGAACATCTTAGATTCTTTTTGCTTCCTGGCACTCAGGAACAGACGAATGTCACCTGTTTCTCTCTTGTGTCCTCATCTGAGGACCCGAGGTCTCACAGCTTTCGTGAGAGAACTATGTAGTTGATTTATTTTCTGAGCTATATTTTTCTGATTAAAAAAAAAAAAGCTGGTCCAGATGGCTCATCAAGTAAAGACGCTTGATGACAGGACTGATGATCTGAGTTCTAGTCCCCAGACCCATAAGATAGGTGCAAAGAGAAAAAGCAGCTCCTGCAAGCTGTCCCCCCACCTCCACAGGCAGTGTGGTAAACACGCACGCACACACACACACACACACACACACACATTTTTAGAAGTCATTTAAATTTATTTTTAAAAAGAATTTGCTGAAAGTCACCCAATTCATTCAGATATTTTATCCATAACTACGCTGGCCACACCATTAATGAGATTCTTATTTCACAGCTGAGTCTTAATTAATATTTCCATTTAAAGCATACCTTAATTTTAATAATTCTAGTTTGGAATCAAGCAGCAGCTTCATCGTTGTTTCCACGAGACTGGATTTTTCTGTCCCCACTCATCCCTCATTATAAACCTGCTCATCCTTTCTGAGCTCTCCTCTAGAGTGCCCGGGGAATAGTCAGCAGCTATTATTGTACGCTGTCAGCATTTTGTTTGCCAATCACTTCTCGCAAAATGATACGTTCTTTAGGGATCGTGCTCACTCTCTTTCGGTGATAACTGCGCAAAGTTGCATGAGAGACTGTCTTCTGTAAGGCCTCCTGTCTGTCCGTCTGTCTGTCTGCTGCCTGGCCTCCAAGCTGATCTATGTCTTAAGGTCCCCGCCCCCACGACGTGGCTCTCGCCTGCCAAGGTCTCTCATGCACAGAATCATGACACCGTGTAAAATGGGGCAGAAGTGCTGGCCACCTGTGATCCCGGCACCACATGGAGGCGGGGCCAGGGCATCCCCAGAGCAAGCTGGCTAGCTAGACCAGCCAGAAGTGGCAAGGGTGGGGCCCGCAAGAGGCTTTGCCTCGATCAATTGGAAAACAACGAAAACACTGGACACCTGCTTCTGGCTTCTGCATGGACTTTCCCATGTGCCCATACATCCTTGCACTCACACACACCAACGAATACACACACGCACACTCTTAAAATTAAAATGTAAACATGCACACTTGTGCATATATCTATATTAATATGTACATGTATAGTTTTGTTTTAATTAAGATTAATTTTATGAGCCAGGCAGTGGTGGCACACGCCTTTAATCCCAGCACTCGGGAGGCAAAGGCAGGTGGATCTCTGTGAGTTCGAGGCCAGCCTGGTTTATAAGAGCTAGTTCCAGGACAAGCTCCAAAGCTGCAGAGAAATCCTGTCTCGAAAAACCAAAAAATAAAAATATTTAATTTTATGTTATATGTGTGGGTGTTTCTCCCACCTGTGTATCTGTGTATCATGTGAGTTCATGGCACCCAGAGACCAGAAAAGGGCTTTGAATCCCTTGAACTGGAGTTACGGACACTGGTTAGCAACCACGTGGGTACTGGGATTCGAACTTCTGTCCTCTGAAAGAGCAGTCTCTCTTAATCACTAAGCCCTTAAAAACGTATTTTGAGATAGAATCTGATATTGTAGTTCAGATTGGCCTTAAAATTGTGACAATCCCCCTTCCTAGACATTCATTTTATTTTTAATAATCCTTCTCAGAATGCATCGTAGCTGTGGTTTTTTTTTCCACTCATCTTTCTTCAGGAACATGACTTGAAGTACATGGGTTTCTTCAGTGGCTCCTCCCATTCCCCCCCTTCCACATCCTTCTTTAATGAAACATCCAATCAGGAGCCACTTGATGATCTTGATGGGGTTTTAAAGTACAAATAAGCCAGGGGTTTAAGTCAAACTCTGAGGGGAGCAGAGGGGACTGGGCAAGGTTGCTCTAGGAGAGGAAGATCAAGAGTTCCGGATAGTGCCTTTGTTTTCCAGGGAGTACACAGGATTCCTGCTCAGAGCACCTTGTATGCATTTATGCTAATGCAAAAGACACACAGTTTCACTGTGGGAAGATAGTTCAGAGGTTAAGAGCACTGGCTGTTCTTCCCTTCCAGAGGACCTGAGTTCAATTCCCAGTAACCACATGGTGGCTTATAACCATCTATAATGAGATACGGTGCCCTATTCTGGTAGAACACTGTATACACAATAATAAATAAATCTTAACAAAAAAAGATACTTCAGAGGCAACCGAGCAAGGGGGGGGGGGGGGGTTCCTGGAGCCTGGTTAATGACACTAAAGGAGACTGCTTCTCCTTTAGAAGCCAGGTCAGAGGGGAAAAGAGTTCAGAGAGTGGAAATCAAAGGTAGGGGCTGAGGCTAGAGAGGGGAGAACCCACAACCAGGGGGACACGGATGGCTTTCTGAATCACTTCTTATTACTTCCAAGTCGCTGAGTTCTTGACTATGACCCATGCTTCTTACCAGAAACATTAGAAATCTGACCTCACTGGATATTTGCGTTTTTAAATATTGCTTCTCTTGTTTTAACTGTGGTTATATAGGTACACATTTAAGTTTGACGTTGTCTTTAAATTTTATTATCCATCTCTTCAGGTACATATAAATAACCATTTTTCATAATGCTTGGACCATATGTACATCAAGTGTGCACTCTATCCCCAGGCCTCTTTTCCCTGTTTGAGACCTATTCTTACTAAATTTCATAGGGTATTTTTGAGTTCACTATAAGCAGGCAGACACTGCCTCTGAATCCCGAGTAGCCATGATTATAGACCCAGGACACCAGATCTGATTTAGGAAAATTATCTTGACTCTATGTACCTGACCAAATTAAACCATCTCGCTTTTATAGGGCATAAGATTCTTCTCTTCTGTAAGAGCATTAAAATGGAGAAAAATCAGTTTGGGGGATCTAGGCTAGCACTCCCCCACACACCAAGTCTTCCAATATACTACAATTCCAGTGAGTTCATTCAGAGACTCGCTAGCTGCACACCTAGTGTCCTCAGAAATGCCCAATTGGCATTTGTCTGTTCTATCAGCTCTCTTTCTACAATGATCCCGAGAACCTCAGACGCCTTTAAAATGTGTCTCTGGATCATCCAAGTCACGGGTGAATGTAGGGGGCGGGGTTGCAGGTGCCTGCGATTAGGGATGGAGCATTGCATTATGGGTACAGTGGAGCGGAAGTGGTGCAGTCTGTTAAGAAGAATAACAATTGGGGCCTACCGTAAATTAGTGCTTTCAGTACAGATTCGGACAGCCCGAAGGCCATGCTCTTCAAAATAAGAACATTTCTCTGCACGTAAGCCAGAAATCACTTCCGAGTCTCATGGTGTCCTACACTACAAACATCTTAAAATGCTTCTGTGTTTCAGGTGGCTGAACTTGTAACCAGCGAGTTCTTTGAACAAGGAGATCGGGAGAGGTCGGAACTCAAGCTCACTCCCTCGGTAAGCCGTTCCTTTCACCATCACGGTAGCTCCAAACCACGGCTTGAAATGGGAAAGGCCGAGAAGGGGTTTGGAGAAGTCCCGAAAGCTTAGGACTTTAACTAAATAAGAATGCTAGCCACCGTGATCCCAGGTTTCTGACTGAGACTGCTGAACAAGCATTTCCCGGCACCCACAGCGGGACAAAGAAGCAGGCGCAAGGGACATCTCAGAGCCAGCGCGGGCATGTCACTCATGCCCACTTTAGAGCAGAAATAACAGCCTAGCGTTAAAGTCAAGCTGTCCAGCCTCATGGAGCAAGCTAGCTCTTATTTTTCAGTTCCAAGCTTTCAAACTCCCCAAAACAAATCATTTCAAACCGTTTTCTTTTCTTTGTTTTCAAATTAAATAGGACGTTATCAAAGCTTAAAATATGTCTGCGCCAAAGGATGCTATAAGGAAAACAAAGGGACAACCTACAGAATAAGAGGAATTATTTGCAAACTGTGCATCTGACATGGGCCTCATAGTTAGAACATTAGAATAACTCTTATAACAATGAGACAATGCAGCTGAAGATTGGGAAGGGGTGTCTACCCAAGCATATCACTTCTGAGCATACCCATGAACAAGCACATAGACAATAAAGACACAAATGCAGATTGCGGTCACAGTGAGGCGCCACCTCACACACAGGCTACTGTTGCGGGAGGTCCTCCCACTCCTCCAGTCTATAGCTGCTGAGATACCAGCCCATTGGGACGTGGTCTCTCTCCCTTTAAAAAAGCGGCCACTTCCCTCTCCTCTCTCTCTTCACTTCCTGCTCTGCCGGGCAACTAGACTCCCTTCCTGGTTGCATAGAGGGCTGTTGCCTGGGACAGTGATCTGTAAGATTTTTCCCCTTTAAATAAATACCACCCTATTAATCATAATTCCAAACTGGTGTGGCATTGTTTGTGACTTACGCCTTCATTTTGGCGCCCAACGTGGGGCTCGAACCCACGACCCTGAGATTAAGAGTCTCATGCTCTACCGACTGAGCTAGCCAGGCAGCCGGGGTGCTGGGGACGCAGCCCCGCCGCCGCTCGTATTACTACAGGCTACTACTAAAAAGACAGACGATACCAGCCCTGTAAGTTTCCAGAGAAGCCCAGACAGTGAGATGCAGGAAGGAATGCAAACTAGTGCAGCTACTTTGAATATCAAGTCTGGAATCCTCAAAAAGTTAGACCTAGAGGGCTGGCGAGAAGGTTCAGCAAGCATAGCACTTGCTGTCGAGTGGAATCCCAGATCCCACGGTAAAAGGAGAGAACCTACTCCCGACAGCTGTCCTCTGGCCTCCACCTGCCTGCTATGCCATCGTCATCCTCAATGTGAAAAACAAGGTCGAATATAATAAACTTGGCCTGGAGTTGCCATATAACCCATTCACTTCTAGGTTTATCCCCAAAGGAAATAAAAAGAAACCACACCCATACAAAAACTTGTGCACAGCTGTTCACACCAGCTTTACTCCTAGCACCCAAAAAGTGTGAACAACGCAAATGCCCGTCAACTGATGAATTAATAAGCAAAAGGTCATAGATCTCTGCCTTGACATACAATGCGGCAAAAATGAGTGCGTGAAATGCTGGGCACTTGCTGCCTCGATACACCTTGAGTATCACGCTACGTGAAAGAAGCCAGTCCTGAAAGGCCACGGCCGTATGACTCCATTTAAATGAACTAAATAAATAGCTCAAGTAGAAAAAGAACTATAGAGAGAATAGACTGCTGTGGTTGGGGCGTGGTCCCACATCCTGAGGTTTCCTGTGCTGCAGCTCAGTCCCCAGTGTGAGTGTTGAGAGGTTGGAAGCTCTATCCCACTCTGGTGGGGAGAGGCGTGGTCTTTGGAGGTTATAGGGACCAGAGAAGTTCATGAGTCCCCGGGGAGCCCCATGATCAAATTAGAGTAGATTATAGGAAGGGGAGAGGCACCGGAAGACACAAATGTGTGCTCTTTGTCTCGTGCTTTATGGTGTCCTGAGACTCTCAGGTCTTTCAGTAAGAAGGCCGCCAACAGACGCAGGCCCTCCAGCCTCCAGAACTGTGAGCCAAACAAACCTTTTTCTTTGTCAAGTTGCTCCCAGTCTCGGGTGTTTTGTTATAAAGACACAAGACGTATAGACACACAGACATTTTTAAAGGGACATTTCTTAAGCAAGCTTTATGTATTTCAGAAGAACTCTCATTTTCTCCAGTACATTCCCTGAATTCCAGGCATCTCTTGGAAAAGATGAGCAGGGTCTGTGGAATTCAGTGGCTTTCTGCCTATTGTAGGTAGAGATGGTTTCCTCAGATTTGGTACCTAGCGTTGTCTCTACACTCCCTTTGTGGATCATCAGTCTGAAGGATGCAACCTTCCCAACATCTCAGGACTAAGGATGAGGCTTGAACTTGCCCTTATGACTGCCATAGACACCAGAATGATGTGGGTGCCACATTTTACCTCGCCTTTCAATAAGGCAAGACAAATTCTAACGAGGCAGTGCCCTCTTCCTGGTCAGCGGGCAGAAGGTAACGTCATAGGCCCCTTACTTTTTAAGAACAAAAGGAAGGACATTCTCCCTGGAGTTGAATTAACTGTTTATTAAAGGAATTCATTTTAACCCTCTAATTCCTGTTGACCAAAGTCTTCCCGATAGAAATAAATCACTCTAGCTTTTAGAAATACGCAAAAATTATATCAAGCGTAATAATGTCATAAAATTTAAAGGCTGGGCTGAAGAAAGGATGCATGCCTGCCCCCACCATCCGTCCAGAGCAAGTTCTCAGTACTCTGCTAATATAGCAGAACCTTACGAGAAATCACGTGGTTGCCGCACCAGCGCCCAACCTTAAAATCTCATAAAATAATTTATGTTTCATAAGAGGGAAAAAAGAGAAGAAACCCTGCTGCTAAGGCTCTTTTCCAATCTCGGGCATCTTCTCCCCGCAGAAGTAAAAACCTGCATTATTTTTGTGGCAAAAAGATGTACCTCCTTCCCCTTGACTTCACCCAGTTCCCAGTGACCTGCTGACTTGATTTAGTAACCATTACCTGTACCTGCAGACAGCTTTTGGCCCCCGAGGAGCTGAACGCCATAAAGTTCAAACAAATTCACTTGCAAATCTCATCTTAGGAGATCTGTGAAAATACTTTATTTCTCATCATAGAGAAAGGGAGAGAGGCTGTGTGTAAGACTGGTGATTTGTGAACTACTCAGCTGGTGACATCTGACGCGCCATTTGACAAAGCGACAGTGGATAAAGGCCAGGCTTCTGCTTTTCTCCTCTAGGCTATTTTTGACCGGAACCGGAAAGACGAACTGCCTCGCTTGCAGCTGGAGTGGATTGACAGCATCTGCATGCCTTTGTATCAGGTACTGCCGGCTTGTGAGTGTCTGTGTGTCCTGCCCGAGGCGACAGAGAACATGGGTAAGGTTCTCAGAAACGTTTGAAGTGGGAGACACTTGCAGGGTACGAACCAAGAGCTGGTGCTTCGAAGATGGGGACCTCAGGTCTCCATCGCTTTCTGAAATGTAATCTCCACGGCCTCACCTTCCTTGTCTGTAAACCAGGGATTATAATATTTCATCTCTGCATTCACCAAATGGTGCTGCCTTGAAACTCAAGGATGCAGCCATAGTCAACACCATCTCTCCAGAACACACAGCTCAGAGGCCTAGTAACTAAGGAAACTCCCATACACACTAAAATATTGAAGGCTTAGAGAAATCTAGTGCGAGAGAAGCATGCTTAGCCTTGATTAACCCTGAATTTCTCAAATATAAATTTATTTTGCTTTTAATTTTTATTAGTAGCATGTGAGACACAGGATCTCATCAAACAGACCTTTCTGCTCTGACCCCAGGGTCTGGACCACTGGGTTTTGTATGGGAAGCATCTTCCATCTTTAAAATCTGCCTTCATCTTTAAGCAAACGTAACCGTGCCAAGCCGTGAATCCTGAGCAGTGCCACTAATGAGCTCTTGCTTCTGCCTGGTGCAGAGCCTGCCTGGGGCAAGGAGACATGTGTCAGCTTCGAAGGGTTCACATTCCGCTTTCGGAGCTCTGCTCAGGGCCCGCATTCATTTGCACTAACAGTTTCATGTACATTGGTTTTTAATTCTATGGCATTTGCTTTCAACTATACACCCCCCGACGAGTTCTTTACCCCCGACCTAGCTCAATCCGTCTGAGCCACGTTCCTAACTTCCAAGTGAGATGCACGCAGGGAAAGCTAAGCCTCTTTAGTGTCTCATTCCCTGCTACTCCATTTAGGACCCAGGATGGCTTTTTAAGGATGTCACAACCATTAAGTCCCAGGCTTACCCACCACTTCGTTGTCAGTACTGTTACGAGCTACAGAGACCTGTCACAGTCCCCTGAAAACAAACAAATTAAAATAGTGTCTTCAGGACCGAAATGTAATTCTAATAACCACAAATGATAAAAGTAAATTCACTTGTTATTTCATATGAACCATTAAATGCCCAACATCATAAAATCAATCAGATACAGTTTTAAGATAATCTAAAATCAATTGTTATGGTTACAAATGACTATAATATTCCCCCATCTAATAATGAAAGATTGGACAAGAAACATTGAGAATGATGTAGTTTATTATAAAGAGGATCCTAACACTCTTTTCTTCCTGTCTGCTCCCCCACCCTTGGCACGGAATATGCAGGCTCCCACATAGAGTCCATGGGTGCTGGTCAGGTACCTTTTGCTTTGCTGAGTTTCCCTTGGTTGCCCACATGGAATTATGGTTTAGTGTTACTCGGTGCCCCATGCACAGGTTTTAATGGGATGGATACTTTACTCTTTTAATTGATAAATTTCTCTTTCTGGAAGGGAGTAAAGCTCAATTAACTTCATGTGCTGCTAAGGGCCTGCACGTGGCTCCCACCCCGAGTCTGTTGTTTCATTTCTGGTCCCCAGCTCTTTGGGCTTATCCTGTATTTGCTCCTAGATATTTTGGAATCTTTGGGATAAGAAGGAAGCTACTTGAAGTTAAACAGAAAAGATAGTGCTAACGATTTAGAGAACAGTATTTCCGCCGCGCATCACGCAGTATCCTGATTTTCTTTCCTTACTCATCTCTGAGGTTAGACGCACCTGTTGTTTCAGGAAATGGATCACACAGGCCCAGTGATGCATCTGCACATTTAATTTGAGTCCTTCTCCACCTCGGCCTTTGCTCTTGTGTGGAGGCTTCCCAGCGGCCTGGCTCTCCTTCTGACTTTTCTCTCACTGTGAAAAGCCGCGTCACCCTGAAGGAGCAGGTGGAGAAAGTTGCTCATAAGGCTGATGCTCAGTGTTCACCGCTGTTGTCTCTCATGAGCGGGCAATGAAAAGCTTGCTCTCTCTTGGTTTCTTATCACCGCTATTGCTTTTATTGCACAATTTCTGCTATGAATTCTTTGTAAGGCTTTTAAACCAACTGAGCCATCAAACCGCAAGTGCAGCCAGCACCGAAAGAGCCCCTCACAGCATCTCTGTCGAGTTCTATCTTACACGTCGTGCAGTGGACAATCTCACACTAACTGATGCTGCCCCCAAAATGAAATGGAATCCGTCACTGGGCAGGAACTGCAGCTATTGGGAAGACAACAGTCTTAAGGAGATAGCCATAAAAGTCACTGAAATGACTCTGGTCCCTTAGGCAAAGTGTTTGGGACGAGTAGGGCTGCTGCAGAAAGGGCACTGGGGTTTTGAACATAGACATGCAAAAATGGGATTCTGAAGGGTAGACAACAAATAAGGTGGTATACAGCTGGCAGAGGTTCCCACGGTGCAAGGGCTAGAGGGACACAGTCTGAAACACAGAATAGAAGAATCCTGCGTAGTCTTGCTGAGATGACTGGGAACATGGCAAAGGGGCAAAGATTAGTAATCACAAGACACAAAATAGACATCCCCTCTAATGACAAAATCACAGGCTCTAAGACAGCAGGCGTGGATGGCAAGAGAGTCGTGTAGAGTCCAAGCAAAGGAATTGTGTTGGGAGGAGCACGGAGTGATGGAGGCTGGAGAGGCTAGAGGCTGCTCTGTATAAGGCTAGGGCGGCAGGGAGTTGGAGGAGGAGGGCGGCCATGCAGCGGGGCAGGAGATGTAAGTACGGTTGAAGAGCTGCTACTTTGCTCCATGGACTTTACTGGGTAATTCGGTTTTACTCTGTGACTTTCAAAGGATTCTTCGTGTTAAACATCCTAGTTGACGGAGCACTTCCTGCTGGTGCCTCTGGTTGTTGACTTTGGATTCCCTCCGAGCAAAGGGGAACAAGTGTCATTGCTCACACAGGTGCCCGAAGAGGCCTCAGTGGGAACCCACACCAGAGCATTCTGATGCCCATTTGTTGAAAAAAAAAATCCAAACTCTTGTCTACCGGACGGTGTTAATCCCCAGGCAACCCGTAACTGTGTGGAAGGAAAACAGGGAGGAGTTCTCACACTAAAATCTATTCGTGAGACAGCTACTCAAGTAATAAATAATAGGAAATAATAGGGCCAAAGCGGCTGACAGAAAATACATGAAAACATATAGTGTTGGGGTGTTGATTAATTACACAACTATTTCTATCTGAAATGAAGAGCAACCCCTTGTGACTGCAGGCCAGGTGGGAGGGCACAGTGGGGACCAACCCCAGATTCCTCACGGTTACATAAGGAGACACAGCATATGTTTATCTTTTAAATCTTAGGGTTCCAAACTTTTGGAAAGAAGACAAAGAGAGGGTGGGGAAGAGAAAGCGGTCCAAACAGGCAGAAGTCATGATTTATCTGTGACAGCATTTTAATCAGGAAGCATACAGGAGGCCCAGAGCAGGCGGGGGAGCATCAAAGCGTGTTCCCCAGGAGAAGTGGAAAGCCCTGGTTAGTTAGCTCTGGCCTAGCAGGATGTCTTGGAGGAATACATTGACATCTGATTCCAGAGCTTTCTGCTGTCTTTACACCCTGCTGGGGAGCCATTAGCCTGCTGCTCAACATCTTTGGATAAAAAAAAAAAAAAAAAGTGAGAAAAAAGAAGGGGAAAAAAAGACACTATCAAAGTTTGGAGTCTCTGCTGAGGCAGCCTTAGGGATAAACAGAACCCCCCCTGTCTCATTCTGAGCTGCTGTTCACAGGAGCAAACTAAGTTTTTGCCCCTGATTTTTGTTCTCAACTCAAACCTCAGCATACCTAAGAACGGCAATGATGCACAGAGACATGATAAATCTGTTCGTTCAAAATCGACAGTTTTTCAAGGAAATCAGATTTTCATCTCCTCTCCAAACTGGCTTTTGAGTTGGGGGATGGATTCCCTCACTGACACTGCAAAGGGGTTACCCTGGAATTGGATCCCCAGCTCCTTGTAAACCAGCCCTGGCCATGCACAACTAGAATCCTGCAGTCCCGCAGTAGGGAGATGGGGGCGGGAGGACCAGAGTTTAAGGACAGCCTCTGCCTTACAGTGAGTTGAAGGTCAGTGGAGGCTGTATGAGACCTTGTCTCGAAAAACAGTGACAGAGGTTCCACACCAGACAACAGACTTGGAATCTTATTTCATTTATGTATTTATTTTAACTTCGGCTGTAATGATCATCTTGGAACTTACTGTTTTACTAGCACAGCTATTAATGTGCTCTCTAAGGAAAGTGAGAAGGGACTTTCATTTTTCCATTAATGGAAAAATGGGTCAGCAGTTAAGAGCACTGTCTGCTCTCTCAGAAGACCTGGGTTCAATTCCCAGCACCCACGTGGTGGCTCACAACCACCTGTAACTCCAGTTCCAAGGGAGTCAACACCCTCTTCTGACCTTCAAGGGAACCAGGCACTCACAAGGTCACACACACACACACACACACACACACCAGCAACACACCCATTGTACAAATTAGGGACAAAAGCAACTTGGGGAGTTGTATTTCAGTTTATAGTTCCACATTCCCAGACCATCGCTGAGGGAAGTCAGGACAGGAATTCAAGGGGGGCAGGAACCTGGAGGCAGGAATTGATGTGGAGGTCACGGGGGAACGCTGCTTACTGGCTTGGTCCTTGTGCCTTGCTTACCCTGCTTTCTCATAAGATCCAGGACCACCAGCCCAGGGATAGCAACACCCAGAGTAATCTGGACCCTTCCACATCACCATCAACCAGAAAAATGCACCACAGTCTTGCCCAGAGGTGGGGACATATTTTTCAACTGAGTTCCCTCTTCCCAAACGACTCCAGCCTGTATGACGGTGACATAAAGCTAGCCAGCACACCCGTACACATAAAATAATTTTTTTTAAATAATAAAATATACTGTACTATGCTTCAAATTGTGGAGGCTGCAAGTTAGGAACTAATAAACTAGAAAAGAGGTTATAAAAGGCAGCCTCTCTAGATAC